ACACGGTGATGCGCTGGCTCGTGCCCGAGGCGCCCGGGCGCGGCGTGCACAGGATGACCAACGAGGCCCTGCACAAGGGTGGGCAGGGGCTGGGTGGGTCTGGGGGGTCCTGGGGGAGTTTGGGGGTCCCTGGGTGGGTCTGGGGGGTCCTGGGGGAGTTTGGGGGGTCCCTGGAGGGGCTGGGGGGACCCTGGGGAGGTCTCAGGGGGTCCTGGGGGAGTTTAGAGGGTTCTGGAAGGGTCTGGGGGGGATCTGAGAGCTCCCAGGGGTCCTGGGGGAATTTGGGGACCTTTGGGAGGGTCCTGGGTGATTTTCTGGGGGTCGTGCCTGGGTCTGGGGTCTCCCTGCCCCTCCCCCATCGCTGCTTTTCCCCTCCCCTCCCCCCCAGGCTGTTCCCTGAAGGTTCTGGCGGACAACGAGCGCTACACCTGGATCGTGCTGTGACACCTGGGGACACCTGGGGACACTCCTGGGAACATCTGGGAACACCTGGATCCTGCTGTGACACCTGGGGACACCCCTGGGACACCCCTGGGAACATCTGGGAACACCTGGATCCTGCTGGGACACCCGGGGACACCTGGGGACATCCCTGGGACACCCCTGGGAACATCTGGGAACACCTGGATCCTGCTGGGACACCTGGGGACATCCCTGGGGACACCTGGATCCTGCTGGGACACCCGGGGACACCTGGGGGGGACACCTGGGAACACCTGGATCCTGCTGTGACACCTGGGGACACCTGGGGACACCCCTGGGAACATCTGGGAACACCTGGATCCTGCTGGGACACCCGGGGACACCTGGGGGGGACACCTGGGAACACCTGGATCCTGCTGTGACACCTGGGGACACCCCTGGGAACATCTGGATCCTGCTGTGACACCTGGGGACACACCTGGGACACCCCTGGGGATACCCAGGGCGTCACCTGGGGACACACCTGGACCCCGCTGTCACACCTGGATCCTTCTCCACATGGACACGGACCCAGCCCCGCCCCCTTTGGGGCCTTTCGTTTCCTTTTTTCCCTTTTTTTCCCTTTTTTCCTTTTTTTCAATGTTTTTCCCTCTCCTTTTGCCGTTCAGTGTTTTACGCTGGCGGTGGGCGGGGGGGAGGATCTCAAATCCCCCCTCCCCAAAATAAAAACTCCCATTTCCACCTCGGGCCACTTCTGGATCAGCTGGGATTTGGGGTCATTTCGGGGATTTTGGGGGCAGATTTGGGGTCATTTCAGGGATTTTGGGGGCAGATTTGGGGCTCATTTCAGGGATTTCGGTGACAGGGATTTGGGGCTCATTTCGGGGATTTCGGTGACAGGGATTTGGGGCTCATTTCGGGGATTTCGGTGACAGGGATTTGGGGCTCACTTCGGGGATTTTGGGGGCAGATTTGGGGCTCATTTCGGGGATTTTGGTGACAGGGATTTGGGGCTCATTTTGGGGGCAGATTTGGGGGCAGATTTGGGGCTCACTTTGGAGATTCTGGGGGCCAGGATTTGGGGCTCATTTTGGGGATTTTGGGGGCAGATTTGGGGCTCTTTTCGGGGATTTCGGTGACAGGGATTTTGGGCTCATTTCGGGGATTTTGGAGGCAGATTTCGGGCTCATTTTGGAGATTTCGGTGACAGGGATTTGGGGCTCACTTCGGGGATTCTGGGGGCAGATTTTGGGCTCATTTTGGGGATTTTGGGGGTGACCCCGTGCAGGCAGGGCCGGCCCGACACCGCCGTTGCTTTTTATTCCTTTTACAAAGAAGCTACAAAAGGTAAAAAACAGCGTCTGCAGGGGGGGGCGAGGGGGCGGGGG